TTTTTTGCAATCTAGGTCATCAAAGGTTCATCTTACTCGCGGTATATACGCCACTGCACAAACTGGAACGCAACTCCCGGGGCCATTGCAAATAATCTTTGAATGCAAAGATAAAGTTTAAAATATCAAAAATTTCGTAAATCGGTAAAAATCATTTTCACGCATTCGCACCAGGTCAGGTAAATCTAATGATACAATCTTTATGCTCGCGAATAACGCTTTCATGACACTAAAAGGAGTTGACATCCAGGATTGTCCAACCCGACGACTCCGTGGAATGAATCGAACAATGAACTTTTTGATTCAGATGATCATAAATTAAACATCGATATTTTAGCTGGAGGAACGAAACATTTTCCAAGGAATGAAATTTATACATTGACATTTTCCACGCCGCCCTTACGGCTCTCAAATTTTTGAACTTTTTCGTAGCTCAATTTATCATTTTCGGCTGCGATGTATATTCGTGGTTTGTAAAGTGAGTTGAAGTCAACTCCTTCCAGAAGTTGAATCATCTCCATTGTGTGACCACCTTTTTAGTATTAAGAATTCAAGTTAATCCTGTAATCCTGAAATGCAAATGGTCATACCAGGGTTTGTTTTTTTTTTGAAGTGAAATTTTGTACCAGAGCCTAAAAAGATGCAAGTCTTGAAGGGTTTTTGATCTTTGCGCCTTTGTGAACGAACGACTCCCGGACGTCGTTTTGGTAAAACTTGAAGGAGCCTTATGAAAAAAGAAATAAGAATGAAGCATAGTATAAATTTTAACATTTTTTATAGACATTTATTCAACAGTATTCCTATTTATACTGTTCAAGTGATGACGTAATTTCAGTGTTGCAGATCTCTTTTAAAAGTCTACAGAATTTCCTTGAACGTTCCCGAGCTGTCATGTCGTTGATAACCCGTCCAAGCTCATCAGAGGAGGAACCGGAGATCGTAGTACCCTCCTTTACATCTTTTCCCGAAATTCCCCTGCAAATTAAAGATTCACGAGATTCTGAGCAAAGTTTCGGTACATACGATTTATTACAACATAAGTCGGCGAATTTTGTTTTAATCGACTCGTCCAACTTTTCCAGGTGAAAAATCCAAGAGAAACAATCAT